TGGAAATAAGGCAAGACTCACGAAGGCGATACTGGAATATTGGAAGTTTAAGGAGCTGTTTACTAGGGTCAAGGGCACGATGGACTTGCTGTCAAGGATTTCTCCAGGGGAAACGCCAAGCATCCCTGGTGCATGTGTATGAGATGTTTTCAAAAGGGTAGTGGAGATGAATAATGCGCCACATGAGCCTCAAGTCTCCTGTCGGTCCCCCAAACTTTCCTAACAACTGTCGGGGAACTTACGGAACTGGAGGTATCGATGACCATATATTATGAAATATCCACGTGGGAGTCAACATTTATGACTGTAAAAGTAAGTCTGCAAACCGTGTGTGTACAGCAGCAGCTGTGCAGGTGCTGTAACAAATATGCGGGGAGCCGTGGTTGACATTTTCACTCGCAGCTTAATGGTTTTCTTAGCTAATTGCTTTCATTAGAACTTCAGAAACATCAAAGGAGGACTTCAAATTAGATTCGATTCAGTACAGGGAAAACAGATGCAAAATGCGCTCTTTGTTTTTCCGGGGTCAGAGTTTCCTCATAGATCTGAGGACAGCAGCCATTAGTTAATTAACATAGGAGAACAGTGTTTCTGAAGTTGTTGTAAGCAGACCAGGAAATCAAAATCCCCTGAGTTTATTAAAACGGCAGAGCCCCATTGAAGTAAGCTTTAGATTGTAACAGCTCTCAAGGTGATTCTTTAAGACACTCAAGTTTGAAAATGTTTGCATTCGTTTAAAAAAGGATCACGTGGCCTTGAGAAAGTCACCAAACCCCTCTGGGCCTTGATGTCCTCATACACTGTGTCCTACTATATCAGTAAAGCCCCCTTGCCCTGTTCAAGGCTAAATTCCACATTTCAACCAAACAAAGACTGCAAGGAGCGCCCATCCCTGGGAACGGGGCTTGGAGTCTCACCACGTAGAGCTGTTTCCAGATGCTGCCCCATTCCCAAAGCGTCGTTGTCACTTCTTGTGCCAGAGGAATTTCTGCAGGAATGATGTTCTCAATATTTCTATTTAAGGCAGGAGAGAAAGCGGTGTGAAATTGGGACCCAGGTGCTAACAAGACAAAATGCTGGCCAATTTGCATGAAGCTGCAGTTGCTGAGAGGGTCCTTGCTGTGAACTTGCTGTCCCCTCCAACAGCCACACCAATTACATTATGCAAATGCAAGAGGCTTCCCTTTTAATGTCCTCCTTCACTGGGGTGGGCCCTTCAAGCTCATTATTCACGGTTAATTTAATTAGTACAGTCCAAAGGCAGTTGCTAATGAAAAGTCTGATTCTCCAAACTTACTGATACCCACTCAGAATCAGACCTGAGCAGGAATCAATTTGGATTAGATGAGGGAAAGCAGCCACACAAATAAACACAGGCACGAAAAAGACGGATCACATCCGCCAAGTCATGCTTTCAAAGAAGACAGGACAGAGACACCCCATAAGCCACTGAAGGCCAAGCCTAGTGAAGAATGGCAAGTACCTTCTTTTTTCAATGGTCACTTCCTTGATGTGGATAAAGGACTTAGGAAAAATGCCCTGTTGGAAATAAGATAACATAGCTTAATATACATAACAAAACATCAAGTACAATAGAATGACACATCCCCACAGAAATAACTGACCCCAGGTCCTCATGGCTTTTCCAAAAGCCACTACTGGAAAAACTCTCAAACTTTAAAGGAATAACCCCAGCATCCACAGAGCAAGGGCTGGATTCTAAATCCACCCATTTAGGTCCAAGTCCCCTCCAGTTTTCCATCAGTTCTTCTAGATCCCACAATAGCCCTAGATTTCAAAGGATGCTCCAGCCCCAGGTGACACATGGACGCTCAACGTATCACATGGGCAAGACAGGGGTGCTTGAAGGACTCACTCTAAGAGAGACAAGGCACTCTGCCTGGCCCCTCTGTGCCCAGTCCCCCTGCACAGTCATGAGCAGTTGGAAGGTCAGGTCCTGAGCAAGCGTCTCCCTGGCTGCAAGTGGACTCGTTTGATTTGAGGTCCTTTTCTCCCTGGATTTATCTGATTGCTCTTTAGAGAGCAAAGTAGGCTCATGCCTCCCAACACACCACTGTCAGGGAGGAAGGAAGAAGCACCTATTGTTATTTCCTTCCTCCAAAAGCTTGGCTCAGTTAATAATAACCGTTTGTCAATTACTCAGAAATTCCTTCCTAAATTCAACCAATGGGCACAATAGGGGCATCTGCCACTGCGCTAGACACTGTGCGAAGTGTGCAGAGGAGCAAAGCAGGCACCTGCTCTCGTGGAGACGAATACGGTGTAATGTGAGGTTGGAACAAGGAAACCCTCAAGGGCAGGGACCAGCCCTGTCTCTCCTCTGTCGTGGCGATACGGAGGTGAGGAAACTATGAATGCCCGAAGCACTCTACAGGAAAGCAGTAGATCAATTTCAAATAAAAAATGCACAGTACCATGGGGCTCAAGGAAGGGAGAAATCAGATATGACTGGCATATTGGGAAAAGTTTCAGGGAGGAGAGGGCTCTGCAGGTTGGCCTTGAAGAATGAGTGAAAGGGGAAGTTGAGGCTCCTGAGTACCAAGTTGTAGAGGTGGGAAAGCACAGGACACAAGGAGGGAGGGGTGGAACCTGTTTGCTAAGGAATGGCAGGTAAAGATACCCAGTATTGTCCCAAACCAAAACAAATTCATCTTACCTGTAACATTTTGTGCTTTATGAGGTATCCCCTATACCAGTCTGCAAAGAGAAAACAAAGAAACAGGTTTCTCATCTATTCTCACAAGTCTATTGCTGGTATTTTTGTTGGTGTGTG